AGGACAATGGCTCAAATGCTAAAATATTTATTGAAATCAAAGGACAAACCCTTCAGAAGCCCTGAGCTGCTCAGGGCCAGTGTGGTTGAGTTTTGTTTGCAGCGTGGCTCCCTGTTCAGCACGGGTGTAAACCCTAAGTGGGACAGTTGGTAACTCAGGAAAGTGGACAGGGCTGAATGGGGACCTACCACATGTAGGAAGAGGGCCCAGGGAGCCTGCTCTTATTCTTGGTGAGGAAGAGAAATGGGCCTGGAGAAATGGAAAGGATGCCTCAGGCTGCACAGCCTGGGCCAGATGGGGAGTGAGAAGAGGAGGTTGTGCCCCTGCAGGTGCTCAGGGTCAGATGCTGGGGCAGGAGGGGCACCCTGAGGCTCAGCAGAAGCTGGCACTCTTCACCTCGCCCAACCCTCTCCCCTGATGGTCCCAGACGACATTAAACCCCCCTCACATCCTGTGGCAACTGAGCGACCCGAGCAGCCTCACATTGGAGGTTAGGTGTTCTGATCTCCTAGGTGTCTTCTGAGCTGGAAACACCACCCCACCCTCTGCACTCAGTCCCGTGTCAGGCCATCACTTTCCCCTGTACCAAGGATGCAGATGGAATTAACAAGACAGTTTTATTGCTTTGCCTGCTTCCCCACCCCCAAAGTCGACGACTTCCACTTCTGCAGTGTCTTTAATGCTCCAAACCATCTGTTTGTGCACCAGCATCATCAGGGATACTAGCACAGCCCGGGAGTAGCGTTTCCTAATTAGCAGCTGCTACAGAGTCAACTCCTCGTCCCCCTCCCACCCCCAAGAATCAAGAATCGGGGTCTTTCAACTCTCACGGTTTCTGGGCAGTGGAGTGGGTGTGGATGGGGAGTGCGCTGCGTCACCCCAAGAGGCAACTTCCTCCCGGAGGGCTGGGTGGCCCCACACGCTCCAGCTCCAGTGGGCCGTGGGTCGGGTGCTGCCAGCCACAAGCTTGGGTTTCTGGGCCACAGAGTTGAAGCACCAGCCCTTTCTCTTCATTTCCCTTTCAATTCAGACTTCAGCACCAACTGCTAAGGGTTTCACACGTGCTATCTCATTTAATGTGTGCGTCCACCAGTCAAGCGGGTGTCGCGGGGACATTGAGGGGCAGGGTGATTAAGTGATCATTCAAGGTCACGCACTCAGCAGAGGGGCGCAATCTGAATCCAGGCGCCACTCTGTCACTCCCCGGTTTACTCTGAAGTGCTAGCCCTCAGTGACCAGGCCCGAGCGGTCCCATGGCCCTGCAATGGCAGCCTTAAACCCGATGGCACTGGCTTGTTTCTCCCTCAGAGGAAGGGGACGGTGAGCATCGCACGGGCTTTGGAATCAGGCAGACTCTCTTGGCGACAGCTGCACGTCAGTGGCTGGAAGACTGCGCGGGAGGACTTTTAAATCAGCTTCCACATTGGGCAGGACTTTTAAGGGTAGCGAGAAAAAATAAGAAAGAGTAGAGGCAGAATGGAGAACAGGTTTGAGGGACAAGAAACACATGTTTTTGACATGTGGTGCTGGGTGGAGATTGGCACTCCCGCGTGGAAACGTCTTGAACAGGCCGTGAAAGATTGGGGGCTGTGGATCCGAAGGAAGGACAAGCAGAGGGCACAGGAAGGGAAGAGCAAGGGTCAAAGACTGAAGTAAGGGGAGCTTGAATGTGGAGGGAGGAGAAGCACCAGCGGAGGAGACACAGGTGACAGAGGGAAGGTCGGGGCAAAATTAAAAGCAGGGGCCAGGCAGGTGGTAAGTGCTGGGCTGCAGCGGAGAGGGGCCAGGGACACCAGGCCCGCAGGAAGGGAGGACTCCACTGAAGCCCCAGGACTCTGCAGAATGAGCCTTGGTGGGTGGACGGTGAAACCGAGCTGCTCGGGGTGGGGGTTGGGGGAGGCTGGAGGCGGGGAACGCTCGGGGTGGGGGTGGGGGAAGGCTCGTGAGGAAGAGGCTCTGGAGCAGTGACACCGGCAGCACGGGCGGAATTCCCCATCTCCGCCCCTCTCCTAGTGCCTGCGGGGATCTCCGATCAGAACTGCTCTCAGGAGAGCTGCTCTTCGTACCAGCACCGACCTCACACCCACGGGGACAGGCTTCTTTGTAATGTTGAAAGATTTTCTTAAGATTCAATTGCTCGCATAGGGAGGGGAGAAGAGAGACTTTTTAAATACAGAGGAGAGTAGTAGTCAGTCCCCTCTCTTGTTAACCCTCCTTGGGTATGGGGGGTGGTTACAAATCACCAGAGGAGCAGGACGTTGTCCAGAGGAACTTTGCCGAGGATAAAATTATGCTCTTTTTTTCAGAGATCAGATAAAGAAATACCGCTTGCGCAGTCAGCAAACCACTTTCCATGGACTAATTCCAGGGCCCTAAATTAGCCTGTTAGACCCTGACATCCTGAGCGGTGGGCAGGACAGGAATTCTCAGCCCAGGCCTCAGAAGAGAAGGCTGGGCTCAGCACCGAGGCCACCCTCCCAGGGTGACCCGGGAAGTGAGTGGCAGAGCACAGAACGTGCCAGCTCTTTTACTCTGCTGTCTCTCCTAATTAGCCACCCATATGCAGACCAATGAGGACTGAGAAGCAGCTCAGCCAGCTCTCCCCTAATTAATGCATGGCACTAGCTAGCACCCACAGCGTGCTGCATCATTCATTCTGGCCCAGTGTGGGAAACTGGCTGGGTTACCTCTGCTGTCCCCATCCCTCTCTTAAGGTAACCCCCACCATCAGGGACCACAGCAACTAACTGGTCTGACCCGTAAATGACAGGGTTGGGCTCCTAGAGGTAACAGTTCCAAATCCACAATATAGCCATTCAGTGGCATTTATGAATTAAAAAAGGAGTTTATTTTCATACTCCTTAGGATGGCTATTATTTAAAAAAAAAAGGAAAATAAGTGTTGGCAAGGATGTGGAGAAATTGGAACCTTCTTGCATTGCTGGTAGAATGTAAAATGATGCAGCCACTGTAGAAGACAGTTTGGTGGTTCCTCAAAAACTTAAACATAGAATCACCATACGATGGATCCCCCACTAGGCGTATACACAAAAGAATCGAAAGCAGGGAACCTAACAGATACATGTGTACCCAAGTTCGTCGAAGCATTATTCACAACAGCCACAAGGTGGAGGCAACCCTAGTGCCCACCAGTGGAGAGATGGAGAAACAAAATGTATTTACAGACAATAGAATATTATTTAGCCTTAGAAAGGAAAGAAATCCTGACACATGCTACAACATGGGAGAACCTTGAAAACTTAATGTAAGTGAAATAACCCAGACAAAATAGGACAAATACTGCATGATTCTCCTTATGTAAGGTACCTAGATAGGCAAAGTCATAGACGGAAAGTAGGATGGATGTAGCAAGGGCTGGGAGAGGGGGGAATGAAGAGTCATTACTTAACAAGTTCCTGTCTGGGGTGATGAAAAGTTCGGGAAATGATGGTGATGGCATGTGTGCAACACTGTGAATGTGCTCAGTGCCAATCACTGGTGCACTTAAAAACGGCTGAAATGGTAAATTTTACGTTAGATATATGTGTGTGTACGTGCGTGTGTGTGTGTGTATTTACTGAGCATCAACCACACATAAGACAGGGCAGCGTCTGCCTGAACGAGCTCACCCCTTCCAAGAGAGCTGAAGCTCTCAACAAAGCCCTACGATGCCACTGGGGAGCGAGAAGGGGTCCAGCACCACGGAGGGGGCCCCAGAGCTGGGAAGGCGCAGGGCTGAGACCAGGACCCACCCCCTCCTCCCTTCCCGCTGCGGCCCTCTCCTGCAGATCACGGCCCTCCCACCACAGGCCCTCGTGGCCTCACTGCTTTGTCCCGGGCTCCTCTAAAGGAGGGGGCTTCAGGCCAGATGGCTGGCGGTGGGATATTTTGGGGCATACAGGAACCTGGGGGGCGTGGAGGCAGGTGGCTGCGATCTCACCAGAAAGGCAGCCTCCTCCTCAGCTGGTCGGCTCTTGGCTGTGTTTTGAAACACTGCTGCGGATGTAATGATTCTGGGCGGAGGACGTTTAGGAGCCAAATGAGTTTGTGTGAACAAAAGACCCAGCCCTTGATCTGAACTGTCCAGGGCTCACGGGGAGTTTGGTTTCCTTCCTTGTTCTTGCCCTGAAAGGAGAGGCCCTAAGAAAAACCATACACATTGAGAAGTGTTTGGATTTGAGATCTGATGGTCTGATTTTTTTAAAAAAGATTTCCCTGAAACAGCTTCTAGCAATGAAAAGTATAAAATTTGCGAGGCATATTATCTCCCCTCCCTGTGAGACAGTCAGCTTTTGTCCCGCTGGTCATCCTCTGGGGAGAAAGGCAGGCCTGCAGGGCCGACCTGTGACCCAGGGATGGGCTGACCTGAGTCTGGGGTCAGGCTTCCAGAAAGGGAATCACCCCTGATGTGGCCTGGGGCCCGATGAGGGAGGCCGCCTACCCAGGCGGGAATGAAAGAAGAACCATGAAGTGACCTCAAGCTCTTAGTTTCCTAAGTGATTCTATGGGTTTAAAAACAAACAAACAAATAAACTTGAGACAAAGCCCTAGGGTCCAAGGTCAGAAGATTCCCATTCAATTAACCTTGCGCCTGGTGGGTGTCTACACTGTGCCCCATTTTCTTTGCCCCTCTCAGACTCTAGGAAAAAAAGAAAAAGAAAGAAACGCCCAGCAGGAGAGCTGAAGAGGAGACTTCTGGCAACTCCCTGCAGTGCCTGGAGGTGGAGGTGGGGCGGCCATGGCGGGCTGTGAGCAGGCCTCCTGGTCTCCCCTGTCGGTCTCCCCTGTCGTCACCCGAACATTCGCTCACACCCAGAGAGGAAGCCTGGTGGCAGGGCTCCACCTAAGGAGGCCTGCCAGGTTAGCGAAACAATAAAACGGCAAGGAAAAACATCCTGGTTCCGAGGAGGAAGGGGGGAGGAGGGGGCAGGAAGAGGGGCCTGCTACCAGGGCGGCGGGCGAGTTTAATAAGATGTGGCCGTGGGCTTCACGCCCTCACTCGGCATTGGCAGCTGACTTTTATAAGTTCTACGGCTAATTTATTCTACAGACCTGTGTGAAGAGGCCCAGGACTCTAAGGAAATCACAGAATCTCACAGAAAATCATTTGTCTAGTAAGTTCACCGTGTCGGAAAATGTACGCGGTGGAATGGTGTGGCGCAGAGGGAGGGAGGCCTGGGCCGGAGGCCAGCAGGGAACACGGTCACTGCCTCTCACAGAGTGGGCACCCACCGTGCGCCCGCCAGGACCCTCCCGGCTCGCAGAAGTAACAGCTGTTTAAAGAGATCAAACAGACTTTTAAAATTCAGACCAGGACACCTGACAGTCAATTCACACATAACCAATATTTCAAAAATCAGTCATATACCATAGCCAGTTAAGAAAAAGAAATAAAACAGGGGAAGAAAAAAGGAAGGGGGTGAAAAGAGAAATACAACAAAAGGGAGGAACTTACAGAAGGAGGGGGAAACAAACCTAGGGAGGATTAAAGAAAAAAAGACACCCACCAGAGGAGGATAACTATTTCAATTTTGATTACAGCAGCCCATGCGTGTGTGGCGTGGCCCCTGCAGGCACGGTGCTGAGCACGTCCTGTGGCCTGTCCCAGCTACGCCTCACTACAGCCCTCAGAGGTAGGTGCCATTGTTGTCCCGGCTTTTCTGCGGTGCAGTGGGAGGAAGTAAATCGCCCACGGTCACATAGTACGTAGTAGAACAGGACACCAACCCAGGTCTGTCCGACTCCGGAAAAGTCCAATTTTTAAAAATAGAGAGAGAGAGTAAGGGATAACAAAGGAAAGAGCAAAATGAAGACTGAGAGCTTCAAAGAAATGGCAATGTCTTTCGACAGGGAAGCCAGAAAGGACGAGGTGACCTCCTCAGGCGGGCCTCCAGGAAGCCGCCCTAAGGACACCTGGACCCACACCACAGTCTCCTGAAGCAAACGGAGAAGCCCTTCTTGACAGCCTATGCAGCTCACTGTGCAAACGGAATTCAGTGCACTGACAGGATTCAGAAGGAAGGAAGAGAGAGGGAGGGAGGGAGGGAGGGAGGGAGAGAAAGGAAGGAGAGCCGATGGTAATACGCGTAAGAAAAGGCAAGACAGAGGTAGTTCAGGTTTTGAATGCCACCACTTCCAAGAAGTCTTTCCCAGAGAGAAATCTCCCTCTCGGCTATTGCTTCATTTTGTTATACAATTATAACTTATTTGGTCACAATCCCGTGTCCCTTATGAAAGACTGTGGCTCATGGGTGGTGCTCAGTAAAAAGGTCACTGACTGAGCCAGAGGTGGAAGGCCAAGGGCAGGACTGCGAAGAACATCCCAGCTGGTGGGAGGGAGGGAGGGAGGGAGGGAGGGAGGGGAAAGAGCCCATCACGGCAACCAGTGGGAGCTGAGAGGACAGGAGATGAAGGACTGAAAAAGACATGAGACTGCCTAGGATGTTCTCCCTCTCTCTCCCTCCTTTCCCACCTTCTACTCCCCATCCTGCATCTGCTTTCTTCGGGAAGCCCCACCTCACCCAGCACGGCGGTGACTCCTGTGTGTTCTGGGAAGTGTTAATGACACACACACACACTGCACATGCAGGTCTGCTAAGCGGGTCCGTGTGGACTGAGTCATTTCACCCCACAAAACACTGGCAAGTGGACAGAACTGGGATTGTCATCTCCATTTTACAGACATGGAAACAGCCTTAGAGATGAAACGCCTTGGCCAAGGTCACAGTCAGTTCATGGTATTATGACTCAAGTTATTTGCTACGTTCACACTTAAAAGTGCTTTCGCAGTCTTCCTCAAAAGCCTTGTTAAGGAAGCAGGATAGATATTATCCCCATTTTTAACACAAGGAAAGTAAGACCTAAAGACATTAGGTAAGCTGCCCAATGACACTGAGCTAGGAAGGGACGGGGTTAAGACCAAAAGTCCTCTGACCCCAACAGAGCTCTTGAGCCGCCACTGGCATCTCCATTCCCTAACTCTTCTGGCAGCAGTGGACAGCAGCACTCCATTACCCACAGGTGTGACTGTACTATAAATAATTCCTAACAGACCACAGGGGTTCATCTATACAATGGCCACGATCCTCTTCAAAGAGGTCCATTAAGACGTACTTATTCCAACAATGCTGTGATTGCTCAAGCTGTTTTCTAAAATTCTCTGATGTTCAATAGAGTCTGCAGAATATTCCCTCGAGTTTCCTGAATCTTCATCCCTTGATAATGGATTGGGATTATTTTGGAAAACTTCAAAGCCCCATCTAGTGACTGCTACGCTACAGGAGGTGGAGGTGTCGGACCTCATTTTGGATCCAGGAGGTTTCACTGCAAAGAAACACCAGGTAGTGGCTCACGGCCCCACGGGCTCTGAAGGTGGCTCCCCACTCCTTCCAATGCTCCTGGGCGCGTGTCAGTAACCTCCAAAGGTTCTGAGCAGAAGGGGAACACTCACTGGCCGCAAAGGTCCCAGTATGATTGATTTTCTTGAATTGTATGCAGAAGTATTTATTTATTTATTTATTGTGGTTCTTCCCATTACCATTTATCCCCCATACTCTCTTCCACTTCCACCCACCCCTCCCCCTCAATCAGCCCACTGTTGTCTGTGCCCATGAGTTTTCAGTCTTTTTTCCTTTTTTGCTCAATTCTCCACCCCCAACCCTCCCCAGAGCTGTCAGCCTGCTCTCTATCTATGAGTCTGTCTCTATTTTGCTTGTTAGTTCAGTTTGTTCATTAGATTCCACATATGAGTGAAATCACTTGGTATTTGTCTTTCTCTGACTGGCTTATTTCATTTAGCATAATGTTCTCCAGGTCCCTGATTGATTTTCAAAGGCCTATTATTTTGTAGCAACCTCTTCACATACTCTCTGTGTGTGTATTTTTTTTTAATACTAATTGCTTCATGTATCTTAACCTGGTCTCCTCGATGACTACAAGTGAGGGTTGTGGCACTTACTTTCTCTCACTTCAAATCTTGCTCTTTTCTCTCTGCACTTGAAACTAAGGGTGACCAGAAAGTTCTAGGAACACTAAGGGGTGAGGTTGGCAGAAGTCCGGGGTGAGGAAGAGCCAGGCAACAGAGGTCCTTGGACGGTGGACTTGAGCCCTGTGCATCAGAGCTTGTCCCCTGCCCAGGAAGCCTGGAGACGAAGCGGGTGCTGCCATCCAGACAGTGTCTGCATAAAGAGGCATTGGCTTCAGGAGCATCAGCATTGCCAGCGTTTGCAGAGCTCCCGTGTCCAGGCACTGAGCAGTCTGCTTCCCCGGGTTTACGTGACACCCACGTTCCCCGAGTAGGGCCTATTAGTAGCCCGTCTGGCAGATGAGAAACTGATGGCACAGAGTGGCTGAGTAACCAAGGTCCCTCAGTTGGCAAGCAGCACTGCTGGGGCTGGACCTGAGGCAGTCTGGCTCCCCGGGTCTCTGACTGCAGAGCCAGCAGGGCTCTCATCCACACCCTGGCAAAAGAGGATCCCAGGAACATGTTCACCACATCGCCTCACCCCAGAGGCGACAGGAGTGAAACCAATCCTCAAGTTGAAGCTGTTGCCATCTCCTCATGCCACTCAGGGTAGGAAAAAGGAGTGGTCTTCAATACTGGCCTAACACATGATGATCACCAGCCACGACCCTGTGCAAAGAACAACATCCCACTAGATTACAAGCAGGCACTTCTCCCCAGTATTCTTGCTACTCCTTCCTCCAATGCGATTGTTTCAGTTCAGATGGCCTGGGATGGTGCATGGCCAGCTGGTGAGCTTGACCTTGGCCTCTGGCCTCTTCTCATCACCCTTCTTCCTCCTTGGTCTTCATTTCCCAACTTAGCAAAGACCCTGAGGGGAAACTTGCCTCCAGGGTCCAACTGCTTTTCAGCACAGGGAGGTGGGAATCACTGTTACTCAGGGTCTACCAGTGAGGTCAGAGCCTCCCCTCATGCCCCTAACAACCCCGGGAACCGGGAACACAGAGCATGCCTGCCACACCACCTAAGCTGTGAGCTTCCCTCAAACATTCTAACCATGCAGGGAAGCCGGAATAGTTTCCATGAAGTGCAAGTACCCAAGAACCAAAATATTTAAGCAAAAAAAAAGTGTCCGTTTTTTACAGCCCCTATAGACTTGGCAGGTGGTCTTGCCCGCCCCGCCAAGGGAGCCCCTGATCCCTAGTGGGGAGGGCACTGCTGCAGCACCACCTGCCGGCTGGAGGCCACAGGTTGGACAGATGCTCCCTGCACTGAGGCCTGTGCTAGGCACCAGGGAGCAAGGGCGGGTAGAACCTGGTCCTTCCCCTGAAGGAGCAGGAGGTCTAGAGGGTGCACACACAGATCTCCGTGATGGCCTTTCTTTGTCGCTCACTCAGGCCCCTGCAACCTCCGGACCCTGAGCTCAGAAGCCAGGTGTTGAGTCTCCTCCCACTCCGTGCCAGCATCAGGGAAGGCGGGACCTTCACAGGCTAAAGATGGGCCCTCCCTGGTGGAGCTTTTCACTTGGGATGGACCAACCCCTCACTTCATAATAATGAAGAAATGCAGGCCCAGAAGTGCATGTGATGTCCTCAAAGTCACACTGACGAAGGGGCAGAACCAGAACTTGATCTTCTGGACCAGTTTTCACCTCTAGGCACTCCGGGTTACTGGAGCCCCCTTTCCAACCTCAACTACAGCTCCTAACTGTCACGATAATGGTTTTGAAACCGTTTCACTGGTCTCCAGCACCTTCCCAGGATGGCCTACGCCTGTGAGCGGCAGCCACCTGTCACTCAGATGGAAGTGACTGGGTCTAGCAAATAACCTCCCAACATAAGGTGACCTTGCATTTTGTATCGTGCCCTGAACAAAGAGACCAAAAGTTGCTGAGCACAAAGTAAAATTTACTGAACTCTCGCTGGAAACCAACCAGAGAGGATGAGGCTAAAAATGTTCTCATAGACCCAAAACAAAAATCTAGTTTTGCTCTGTACTCCACAACTTAAAGGATCAATTACTGCCAATGAAATGGCTGCAAATTAGAAAGATACAGATCCCTGTGGCTTTCTCTTGCCCCATTCCAAATTTTGCATTGCAGTTCCTTCTAAAACACTGTTTGCCTTCTGCCCGGCCACTCTGCCAAGCACCTCACCGGGCTGCCTCCCCGCCCAGAAGCAGCCACCTCCACACACCCACGGCGGCAGGCTTGCCAGGTTCTCCGGAGACACCACCAGCCATCAGCAGTGTCCACCCACTCCCCACTCCCCACCCACCGACACAACTTCCTTCAACTTGCCTTGGACCAGAGGGTAAGATGGAACCAGAGAAGCTTCTGGAAATGAGGTTAGCAGAGTAATGCTATGATTGCCCTACCTGCCCCCCCCCCCACACACCACTGTCAAAAGATATCTGGGTGAAAAGGTGCTTGGTTTAATCAAAATGCCCAGTGGCAAACAGGCCGTGGCGAGATCTATAAAATCATACAATGCTGGTGAAAGTAGAATTTGGTACAACTCTGAGGGACCATTTAGTAGTATTGTCAGTATCTTAAAGTTTTCCATTTCCAGGAATTGACACTAAGCCAATAATCAGTCACAAATATAAAAATTGATGCAAAAAGATTGATCACAACATTATTTATGATGGTAAAAAACCGGAAACACTGCATATCCAATTAAGAAATAGCTAAAAAAGCAAAGCTATGGTATAATGGAACAGCATTCATTCTGGATATTTATATGGATATATATAAAGATGGAGATGGTCTGGCACAAGTAATGCCCCTTTTATATTACAAAACCATAAGCATGGAATTCCATAACATAACAATATCATACTCAAGCACACCATATGACATTTTAGGTGAAATATTCAAATGAAAACTATAGATTATTGTACCCATATTGTCACCCTACCAACCACACTCAAGCAGGCCTTACTTCTGCCAACCTTGTATATAAAACTTTATATTCCATGTAAATGAAAACAAAAGGAATTGTTAATGTTTTAATATACTTCTAGTAGT